CGTTGTGTATCACATTTAGAGAAAAGTCCCCGTACGTGCATGTAAACACCATCTGGTCTCCTTGCAAGATCTCGCACCATCTCATTCATTCATCGCTCATGACGTTCACCTAAATCGTCCAGCTGCGAAAGCTCGCATTGCGCGAAAGCCATCATTTGTGCGATTTTCGGTCTTTTTTTCATCGATCGAAATAATGCACACCCCGTGACTCACTCTCAACCAATCAGAACGCTGGATTTCATCCACCCGCATTATAATAAGAGATTAGTGACCCCGGTTCGATTGTGGCCGATGAGAGGAGACTTAAAGTACACAAGATCGCATTGCTAGGAGGAAATTAATTCCCCCAAACTCCAGGGCTCATTGTCCTCATGGTCTCTCCTTTCCTCTGAGGCGCGTTTCAAGTCGGGGTGACCTGCAGGCAGGCGTAGACCAGTGATCCCCGGCCAGCCCACCGTGCAGCCAGGCGGCATCAGGAGCACAAAGCAGGTTCACAAAGCGCTGAGACCATTCGAGACTTCCAGGAAGTTGAGCATCAGGGATCAGTGTGTGTTATTGACTTGGCAAAGCTTCCAGCCAGTACGATTCCACCAGCAAGGGGTTGGCTGACTGCACTAGTGCACATAAGTGTATGTGTATAGTCCAGATGGGTGGCCAAGCCCCAGTTGATGTCTCTCGCTCTGTTATGACAATTGAACTCATGTGAACCACTGGATCTGAATTTCTTTCTCCAGATTGTAACCCTAAGAGCACCCAAACCAACGCCCCTGTTCTCCTTTGCTCTTTTTTTACTTATGTCTCACTGTTATTGCGGGGTTTTTTCAAATGCTTTTGTATGTGTTGCTGAACAGCTGCCACTGACAGGGGCCGCCCCAACCAGCAGAGGAGCATTGTGTTGATAGCAGATAAGCTGGAGTGGAGTGTCAGGAGAAATTATTCCCCTCCTTCAGACAGACGTCCATGCATAAGCCTCAAAAAACACTGCCACAAAAGAAATGGACTAATGGCTCCTCCCCCTCTTGGTCGCCACTAACGCGTCTTTAAGCACAATCGTAGATGAAAGATGCCGCCGCGCCCTGTTTTGCTGCTGAAGGTTGCCGTGTGCCGTCTCCTATTGTCAGCACTTCTGATTGATCCTATTTGATTGGAAAGGAGGGCGAGAGTCACTGGAGGAGCGCACAGTTGTAAAACAGCCTTCAGCTTTCATTAAGCACGAGCACTGCGGAAGAAACCAGAATGAGACAAGGCCGGCTTAACTGGTTGATCCTTTGTGTCAACGCGCATGGAAGCAACAAGATGTCTTCACACGAACCAGGCGAGGAAAAGATATTGACAAATCCTACAAACAGTAGAGGAGTCAACTCGAGTTGAATTATTATAATAAATGGTGTCAATTGATCACACAATGAGTTATTATTTATGTGTTGCATGTGAGGTAAATGTTAATGCTGCAGTTGGTGGAGATGGATCTAGTTGTATCTAAGGTCTGTCCCTATGGATGCTTAAATTCAAACAAATTATATGTTATTGCTGCTGGCTTTGAGCCAACGAGCCTATAGATGTAAGTACAGTATGATGGAGTATACACACACTGAGGGGCCTCATAAGGGTACACTTAACACGTGTGTGTGTGTGTGTGTGTGTGTGTATGTGTGCGTTCGCAACGAATCACGACCAGCACCACATGTGTGTCTCTGTGTGCGTTTGTAGTAAATTCTTGAAAAAACTTTTTTTTTTCCATGTAAAGGTGCACACGGTACATGGACTCACACTGAAAGAGACGCACATATATGCACACACACACACTCATGGGGTGACAGAGTGCACTGGCTGAGCTCAGATGAACCAATGGCAACCCGGTGATGGAGGAATGTGCATGGCGCTGATCCAAGAGAGGCCGTCAGAATCCTCAGCAGGCAACCCCGGTTGTCTTAGTGAACACAAGTGGGAGTGTGGGCCTCCGCACAACATTTAGGAAGGGGTGGTAGTTGATAAACTACGGGAGTGTGTGATTTTACAGTCAAGGGAAGAGTTGCGTAAATCAATGTAAGAAAACCCAGATCAAGCACCTCATCAGCAGCATTAGTGTGAGGTACTTCAATTCAATTTGTTCGCAGCCATGAGATGCAGCGATGCATCTGTACTAAGAGTTGCCTTGCAAGTGAGAAGTTACTACAGTCAGTGAGAAGGACTTCTGCCCCCTAAGGAGGCTTATAAAGGGAGGATGGACGTTCACTGTAGCGTCAGGCCCGTAAGCAGGAGATATAAAACCCAATAATTAAAATAGACTACAACTTGACAAAATAGATGATAAAAGTTGCCGGACAATGACACCTATTTTAAAATAAATCACAGGGTCTTTTTTATATCAAAGGAAAATCAGCATGGATTACCATAAGTGGGTAAAAATGCTTTTATTTATAATCTAAACCAATAAAATAACTGCAATTAAGTTGTTAAAAGTCTAACGGTAAAACAGCGTTAAATGTCCAGCTAAAAAGGGATCTACAACAAACTGATATAGAAAATAGAAGAAAGTGCAACGCCAGGTAGAAAGCCAGCCGCCAGGAGGGATCCTGCCCTCCAGCAACGCTGCTGGCCAGTTCACTAGTGCCAGCTCTCCCGATTGGTCCCTGTAGATCAAATGAGCCTCTGTGAGTGCAGGTGATCGGTGGCTGCATTGGTCCAAATAGAATGCCTGCTAGAAAAACATGCAAGTAACACTAAAACACAATGCAAAATTCAGTATAACAGCAACAACGCTTCACAGCAAACAAAACGATCTATACGGAAAATATGGCTTTCTGTCCTCTGGTAACGATAGCGCCACCCATCTCACTAGTCCCAAAAATACAGCATGATGTCATGCAAGCGTTGACTGCAGTAGCAGAAACAGGGTCATGTGTGCACTCGACTAATGCACAACTGAGCGAATGAAATAAAAGGCAAGGGGAGAGGAGTAAGGAGGGAAAAGGAAGGAGCGTGAAGGGCTGTCTAAAATATTCAACCTCCCTTCCATTAACTAGCCGTGTAGGGATGGGGAACACGGCCTGCACTGTACATCTCATGAGAGAGAGTAAAAGATGGTGCACTATGGGAGTAGAGCTCTTTCATCCTGCAGCCCTTAAATCCAGCTCAGCATTTTCTCAGTGACGTCATCTTTTTTTTCACTCTCACTTCACCCTCACCCTCTTCACTTTTTTCCTCACCTCCATCTGCTCTCCCTCTCCATCCTTCCGAGGCTTTCTTCATCTCGCACGCACATATTGGACCCCTCCCCACCCCTCCCTTCTACATCGTCCACCTTCTCTGCACTTACTCTTCGTGTGCTGCATTACAATGTTGTATTCTATTCAGGAGTGCTTAACCACTCAACTCACTTAAAAAAATAAAACAAAAACCATATTTCCTTTTAGAATCGAAAAATAGTTGCTCTTATGAAAGTGCATTTTGGAGGCAGAGTATATCAAATCAATGCAAATGTGGTTAAATAACTATGTTTAAGTATCTCTAAATGTTTGACCTCTGTGGAGTCCTGTACAGTCGGCAGTTAATGCATACATTTTGTAAAAGATCTCAAAATCAAAGTACTGCGAGACAACCTCCTCCTGCTGGTGCATGCAGCGAGATGGGGGGGTCATACGGCTCTGCCTGTTACACGGTTATGCAGCCTTCTGGATCTTCTTCAAGAACAACTAGAAACTACACACTTTGGATGATACGTCCTGCTACATCCTCCTCGAGCCTGTCTGCCTCACTTTCTGACTGTATATTCTTAATATATAAACTGCACGGTTCCAAATTGCACTGTGAATTGGCGTTAATTTCGCACTTAGAAGTTTGTGATGTAAATGTTGCGTTTTGAAGTAAAGCGCTGTTCTTTTCTAGAAAGAAATCATCCGTTTTATTCAGGTCCAAACACAATTTTGGCCGATCCTCCACAGATGTCATCACTTTAAAAAAGGAGAAGTCTATCCCAATGCTATGTTGTTAATGATTAAAATAATCTGCTTCATTATCTCGTCAGCCAAAATGATCACTGAGTAAAAATCTGATCCTTTTTCTGTAGGATATAAATGATTTTGAGAAACACATTACTTAATCAGTTCTTTTTTCTTTGTTCTTAAGAGCATACATGCCTGAGATACATTTATCTGCATGAGCAACAGATGTCCTAGATTATCCTAGTTTGTTCTAGCAGAATCACAAATGTCCAAAACATTAAACTAGGTAGGTTTAGCACACGGGTGTGCATCCGACTTTAGAAGACAGAGTGTTCCTGTGACAAGGAGCAGCGGAACGGGGACAAATTATTGCTTTGCACACCACAGAACTTGATTTCTCAACTTTAATGTGAGGCCTGTTCAGGGCGGGGGAGAGAGTGAGAGCAGGAATTTGGTCTCTGTTGGTTAAGCAGCTGTTCCTCTGGCGGTCCGGACTGAGCAACAGAGAGTAAGCGAGAGAGAGAGAGATGGAATAAAAGAGAGAAAGTGAGTGAGGCAGACAGAAAGAAATGGGGTGGCGGTGTAGCAGGAGGCTTGTTTAGTTCTCAATCAGATTGCTTTAGAGCGACACGGCGGGTGAGTTTTTCCAGGCAGCAGACAATGGGCCAACGCGATCAATATTGACATTCTCCTTAGCGATAGCTGAGTTGGCTGGGTGAGGTCAGGGAACTGGACCTTTGTATTAGCCAAGCAGCATTAGTGGTCACGGCTGGGGGACACTTACTGTAACCTTGGCCTTTCAGCATAATGGAGGGTCCAAGAGAGAGGTCCCTCCCCTTCGTGGGCCCCCGATTACCGTAAGAGGGCTCGGTCCTCCAGTGGCCCGATTCAAACACAGATCATTGCTTTGTCAAAACAGCTACCAGACCACGTTGCCCGCCCCCAAACCCCCCGCCGAGGCCAGCTTGAGTGGCAAACAGCGTCTCAAAGTGCCAGCTGTTAAGCGCAGCAGTCGTTGGAGATGAGGCGAGGAAAACAAAAGAAGAGCAAGCCGAGCACTTTTGGACAAGTGACCATTTATTGGTTCTTATTCCAACCACCCACAATCAGACAGATTCAGCGGCAGGTCCCGCACGCTAGGCAAACACACACAAACACTGGGTACAGCCTCTCAAGATTTATGGCCAGAGGTGCCGCCGCAAAATAATAAAACACTCCGGCAAATTCCACGTTGTTGCTTCGCTTAAACAACAACTCAATTGTTGTTTACCTAAATTGGTCAATTAGTCCGAGGCGAACTCATAAAAAGAGGAAAGGATGTGGGTTGTCCAGGTAGTCTCATCCAACTGGCTGAGTCCGGGTTACCAGGGATGCCACAACTTAGGAAGAGGACAGCAGGGACGCCAGAGGAGACAGACGGGAAGGAAAGGAAACTCTCCCCCTCCCCCTCTCAAAAGATATGGCAAGGAAAGAAAAGGTAGAAGTAGAGCTTTGCTGTTGTCAGGGAAGAGGGGTAAAATGAGGAGGTGGAGGAACAGGAAAGGTGGGAGGTGGAAGAAGAGGAGGTCGTCTGAGGTGATGGTGATCCTGTGCAGTGGGCTGGTTTAATGGAGCCGGGCCACTCTCCTCCTCCTCCTCCTGCGGCACGTGTTACTGGACCAAAGCCTCACAAACACACACACACACACGTCTCCCCAAACACGCACATTGTGAACGGTTTCTTTACAGAAATAGAAGCTCCCAATCAGACACCCACGACCAATAATGCGACCGGTCCGGGGTGGGGGGGCATCTCATAGTCCGAACCACTCCGTGACCCCTCCTCTCCTGGGGTCGAGCCTCTGCCTCTGCTTCTCGTCCTCCATGAACTTCTCCTGCATCTCCTCCATAGAACCCTCCTCGTGCTTAAGCTCTTTTTCTGGGAAGATGTCTGGGAAGGTGAACGTCTGGCCCTGGGCCTGGGACAGGAGGAGGCAAAAAAGAAAAGAGCAAAAATGAGCAAAGGAACCAACATTTGGCTTCCTAATAAAACAAGGTTTATCTTTGAAAGTCATTTTGCAAACCAATTTTTGTGCAACAAATTAAAAAGCGTCAAAATGCATTTTCTTCCTCGTCGTCGGAGAAGAGAACTGAATAATAATTCTATTCCCAGTTACACAAACGCTACCTTTCTCTTTAGCATTCAATTCCTCCAACTCTCCCCCACATTTATTCTCTCACCTCTCTCCACTTCTCTGGTCTTGATTTATTCAGGGGGAAAGGACAGTATCCATTATTTATTCCATACCAACCCATCTGTGGCTGTGGCTAATGCATCGCTAGCCCGCCCGTAGTCTGCATCCGGATGCCGTAGAGTACAGTACTGTACACACGTACACACACACACACACACACACACACACACACACACACACACACACAGCTGCACGCCCACGCACAAAAACACAAACAGGTCAGTGGGTGCAGGCGTGAGCCCATCCCACTCAGCCTCTCCCATAAACACCAGGCAGCAGGAATTCACTGTTATCAGTCTAAAGGGGAGAATCAGTGTCCTTAAAATGACTCGTCCTTTTCAACTGCACTTGCGAGTGTCATTTTTAATCAGACCGTGTTTGGCTTCCGCTTCATAATGTCAAGCGATCGGATGTAATAATGAGGCTCATGGATTTCTAAAGGGCCCCCGTGAAATCGATCGCTTCCACGAACACAATTGTCAATCCACCGTTCTGTTGAATATGTCAAATATTTTGTTTGTTTGATGTGAATGTTACTTTGTCTCTCTCCAAACCCTAAAATACAAAGAAAAACATATAATTACCACCTGGCATGGTTCAATTCCCTTTATCGTGCATTTGTAACAAAGGGGTTTAGGTATTTTCCCATTCATCCAACTAGTTCCCTCGTCAGATGACACTGATGAAAGCAGAAGCTTTGCGTAGTTTATAATGTGCTTATGATAACCTCAAGTGAAGTGTTAAATAATAATAACAAACATAATATACATCCTGCAAACGGTATTTTTGATACGTTAATCATTTTAACTTCCAATTTCCCTTATGCTGTCACCTGTCCATTTAAATCAATGATTTAAAATATATATATATATATATATATATATATATATATATAGTGATGATGTGATCAAAATACAAGAAATTATCTCTTTTGTCTAAATGCAAATTGAACTACACCCGACCATCCTAAGCACAACTGTTATGAGAAGGGTTAGGGCAGTATTTTGGTATGAAACTTTACACAAACTTGAAGTGAACCATTTGTCCATCTGACAGCAGCTTTGAGGATCAGCTGAAGCCAAATACGCTAAATTGGCAGCGCCTGTGTCACACAGTACAGGAGGCTTACTAGCAAGCGCAGTAATGCAGGGCGGCGGCGCGGTTGCGGACCCAGCGAGGAGGGCACAGGTAGAGGGGCACCTGAATGCCGAGGCCCCCGTGAGTCTCTGCCGCAGGGATGCGAGGAAGAGAGGGGAGAAAGGAGGGGGGGGGGGGGGGTGTAGACGACACAACCACGGGGCCGAGAGAAGGGATCTACCGCAGCCAAAAAGGGTTCACCCAATTTGAACCAAACGTTGTTGCATGACAATTTCCAGTTACACGGCGTTATGCTGGACACCTCGTGTATACACATGGTTATAAGATTAATATCGGCCTCGGTGAACAAAGACAAAAGAGCCCTGAGGTTGAAGTCAACAAAGCACCGAGACTCTTTAAACGAGTCTTATTATTGGCAGCAGGCCGCGCCCTCTGTGTGGGTCTGCTGGACACATTTCCGCAGCGAGAGGAGGTGCTGACAGAGGGCGTTCCTATTTTTGTTTGAAATGTATACATCGCACCAAAGCAGAGGCAAAGCCGATGTCCCCTCGGTCTCCGTGGGCTCCAAGCCAAAGCGCTCTTTCCTGTGTGTCTGTCTGCCTCTCTCTACTCCAGTATTTACTTGTGTGTGTGATTGTGTGTGTGTGTGTGTGTGCGTGTGAGCAGGGGGGGAGCGTGTGTTTGTGTATGAGTGCATATTGAGTGATTTATGGAGAATACCGAGGTCCCGGCCAAAAACGACAACACTGTAGAAAAACAGTAAGGCCATCATCCTCACCATGCACCTCAATTGAATCAAGCTGCCATCCAGGAATATTGAGACGAGGCCCCACACTGCTAGTGATGTAAACATACTTCTCTTACGCACATGAACAACCCATTACACCCACAGTTTCCCTCTCAATGGGAAAATGAGGAGAAACACTGGGGGGGGTTAAGAGGGGAAGGCAAATGTTGTCATTGACTCTGGACCAACCCGTCTCACTTTCCCCATCTGTGTGCATGTGTATGTTTCCTTATTAAGGTTTAATTTAATATCTTGCTCCGTTCCAGGAAGTGTGTATTTAGGGTGTCGGTCTGGGCTGCGTCATTAGGGACCGCCGGTGGACTTTTAACCAGTTGATTGGGGACATCTGCGAGACCAGAGGCAACGGTCGTTGTCCAGGTGTTGTTTTCACAGCAGCTACATTCACAAAAACCCGCTCGGAGCCTTAATTGGTGTGTACTGCTCGCCCGTGGATGTCCTCGATGCAAAAGTGACTCGCTACAACATCCCTGAATGTATGTGTGTGTTTGTGTGGATACAACAAGAGTTGTACACCGCCACTAAGTAATCCTGTTTGCAGCCCCGGAGGGACGGGGGTAGAGAGGAGAGTGAAAAGAGAGAAGACCGGGCTGGAGATGGAAAGAAACTCGTTGCATTGGATCCGATTGATCTTTGCTGCTGATCTGTAACAAACCAAGCATACAGTTGCATGTCAGAAACAGCTGTGGGGAACTTTTTCTGTTAAAATAGGAAGAAAAGAAAACAGAAGAATGTTGAAAGAATGCACGCATGTGTCCAGCACCCTTGGAATGCATGGGAAATCAATAGAGGGAAAACGTGAAGGGAGTGACTTTATAATTCATGAGCTTAGATTTAAGTAAGAAATATGAAAGTCATAGTGGTTCTGACTTGATGCGTTGAAATGCCTTTGATGAAAACAGGAAGGTGCTTTTCCGACCTGGAGCTGAATAGATCATTATTGCATTCGGCAGCGGATGACAACAAACGTCTGATTCAACCTGCTGCTCCGAGAGTTAAAATATACGGGAGAAATGAGTGGACGGGACCAGTCATCGCCGTGTGACCGGTGAGTTACACATTAGCATTTAAATGCCTCTGAATGAGCAAGAACTGTGCTTCAAATCACAACAAGAAAAACTAAAACAAAGGAGGCTTTCAGAGATTATTACTCGACCACAATTGCTCAATGTACAGGACGGCCTCATTGGAATCAGATTTGATTTTATTTGTATCCCTTTGGAATGGAACAAGTTTGAACCCACATTTTATCACTTAAGAGGCTGCTTGACAGCCGTGAACATCAAATGGTCATATGGTGAATTCAATTCAGATGATCAAGTCAAGCCCAGAATTGAATTCACCAGAAAAGGAAATTGTAACCACCCTTTTATAACCTTTCAGTTGTGCTCTTGGACCTTGAGCACCTTATGGAGCGTAAAAAGAATGGACTTGAATGGGTGAAGAACTTGGACTTCTATGACACTTGAACGATTAACTCTCAATGCGGCCGCAGAGAGTTTAAAAGCTTCAAGTGGTCCAAAAAGAAGCAACTGAGACATCGGCACAGGCCTTAAAAGACGGACCACATATCCACTGAATTCATGGTGGACAATCCAGAAGGCATCAGAAGATAGTGCTGTTCACAAAGCAGCCGATAAAAAAAAAAAAAAAGAAAGAAAAAAAAACTGTTGTTTTTTGGGGTACGGCCAAATCTGGGCCACACAGCGAAACGGAGAGGTGAAAAACCTCATGAGGCTCGGGCTCATGCAGTTGGAGAGTGTGTGTCTGCGTGTGTGCGGCGGCGGCGGTGAAAGAGAGGCTGAGAGGTGTACACATTGTGGTAGAATCTATTAAGACCGCAACGCGGTAGGCGAACCTCGCAGGATACGGAGGGACAGACCCCACGATGAGGTTGCCAGGATTAGAGGTGAGGGCAACCCCCTGCTGGGTGAGTGAGTGTGTGTCTGTGTGTAAACCCTATTTACTAGGGAAATGTTGAGTGCAGCATGCATCATGCTTTTTTTTTTTTTTTTTTTCTCAGCAACTCACGCAATTGTAAACATCGACACCAAAAACCTTGACTTGCTCATTGAAAGAGCCGCCACTTTCCCACTGGTGTGCCGGTGACCAGCTCCACTTGACCAGTCGGAGGACGTCTCGCGCCTTTGCTCCAGCTCGATTCCGCCAGAGGGTGGAGCGTTTACTGCGCTCTTGAAAAAGTGTAATCGCATCTTTGTGAGTCCGTCTTCTTTGGTCTTTGGTTCATTTAAGTTCACACTGCCCAATTACATGTGAAACAGAAGTCAGATGGACTCACAAGCAGCTTGTTTATGGTAAAGAGTTTTGGCAACCTGTCATGTCGTCATTCCAGTTCCTTGAGGTTTAACAAGGCATTGGGAACGTATCTGTCGTTTGACATGCATTAGCATCGCTGGTCTTCATACCCAGTAAATATTTGACTACGGTGATGAGACAGGCTGTGGTTTGCCCTTGGTTCACTTTGTTATGCCACCTTTTCCATTATGATCAACTGCTGGCTATCCAGTATCAACATCCGTCTCCTTCAGCCCATAAAATCATATGAGTAAATGCCCAAACAATGGACACCATGTTCATGAGAAGGTTTTTGGGGCGGTTTCTTGTGGTTAATTCACAATAACCAAACCGCACCTCAGTTTAATTGGAAGGTTTGCTTTGAGTTATACTGACGTCATATATATATATATATATATATATATATATAGCTCAAAGTCAATGCAGTCCTATAAAGTGGTCCTGCATCAGTACATTAACAAACACACAGTAACAACCACATATCTGAAAGGCTGGAAGACAAAGA